CATAATAGAGAATGGACAATTTCTTCAATAGACAAAAACCATAAAACTCTTAAAAGAAAATCTCCAAGAAATTGATGAGGGACCATGATTTTTTTTTTTGGTATGTGACCCAGATAACCCAGGCAACAAAAGAAAAATAGACAAATGGGACTGTATAGAATAAAATAGTGGACTGTATAGAATAAAATAGTGTTATGCTGGGCGTGGTGGTGCACACCTGTAATCCTAGCACTCAGGAGGCTGAGGCAGGAGGATCGTTGTGAGTTTGAAACCAGCCTTGGCTACATAGTGAGTTCCAGGTCAGTCTCAACTACATAGTGAGACCCTGTCTCAAAAAAAAAATAATGTTTACTATGGAAAAGGAGACAATTAGTAAAATGATGAGACAGCCAGTAGAATGTTAGAAATTATTTGCAAGCCATGTATCTGCTAAAAGATTAATATGCAAAAGGTACAAACAACTCAAACAACTCAGCAGGAAACTAAATAACCCAATTACAAATGGACAAAGGGCCTGAAGAGTCATTTAGTGTTGAAAAAGATGACATACAAATAGCTGAGAGACATATTTAAAAGAAAAGTTCAAGGCATTATCATTAAGGAAGTAAAATTGAAAACCATAATAAGATACCAATTTGCTCCAGTTAGAATGGCTATTATCAAAAAGACCGAATGTATCAAGTGTTGGCAACTGGATGGAGAAAAAGCAACTGATGTTCACTGTTGGAATAAAATTTGGTACATGCCCCAATGCAGAACAATAGGGAAATTCCTCAGAGACTAAAAACAGAACTGTCATATGATCCAGCAACCCCGTAACAGATACATCCAAAGAGAAAATAATCAGGACGTCCAAGAGATTCCATTGCAGTGAAGAATTATTCACAATAGCCAAGATGTAGAAACAACTTAATTGTCCATCAATAGGTGAATACATAAAGAAAATGTAGTATATATATACACAATGGAATACTTTTAGCTTTTAATAAAGGGGAAATTCCAGTCATTTATAAAAACATGAAAGAATCTGGAATACTTGAAGTAACTGCAAACAAGTACTAATAAAAATAAATAAATTTTAGAAATCAATGGAAAGATAAATCTCAAATCAGCTCACATATATGCAGAACCTAATAAAATTCAGTTCATACAAGTCAAGAACAGAGATGATTGGGCGGGGGATTTAGCTCAGTGGTTCCACCACCTGCCTCGCAAGCATAAGGACCTGAGTTCAATCCCTGGTTCCAAAAAATAAAAATACAAAATACAAAAAGAATAGAGATGGTTACCAGAAGCTGAGGAACTCGGTGAGAGCAGGCAGAGACAAAATGGGGAATTGTTGACCAAAGAAAACACAGTTCAAATAGGAGGAATAGGTTTTAAGATTAACTACACAGTCAATATAGCTCTTAATGAAGCATTACATATTTTAAAACAACTGAGAATAAATTTCAAGCAGTATAACTGTAAGCACAGTAACATTTTTTGTAAAACAGTTTAATGATATAGTGTATTTAAATATATATGCTTTGATTTGTTATTTCTGCTTCTAGACATTAAGAATACAATTCAATAAGAGCTGAAGAAACAATGAACTTCAAACTGCGTTAGACAAACCCCAAACGTCTGCATTTACATGCAGTCTGGTGCCATAGGGAAGAGCAATGTCATGTTTCCAAACTGAACGAGTGGAGTTAAGAGGAAACTTAGTAGGGGATATTCAAGGTAATAAATGAGGAAATGCTTGAAATGTTAAGGCGTTGTTTAACTCTAGTTAAGTTATTTAAACCCACTTTATTCTAAGTGATAACAAAGGTAAGATGGGATATGTACCTTACTATGAATACATATACCTAAACAAAGAAACAAAACGAGCCAAAGTTAAATCTGTTAACCTTTTTTTTTTTTTTTTTTTTTTTTGTACCGAAGATCGAACTCGGGACCTCAGGCTTGTGAGGCAAGAGGCGGAAGCACTAAGCTAAATCCCTGGCCCATAAATCGGTTAACTCTTGTAGTCCTCATTCTTACAGGAAGAACTTACATCTGACACGTGGAGCATGCATTAGGTTACTCTGGGAGCAAGGGTGTCAAACATTCCTCAACCTTGATTAGGTCAAAGGTTAAACATTTTTCAACAGTTCACAAACATGGGAAAACAAAAATATCTTATGAAACATGGGTTACTAAAATGGCAGGTTTTCCCTCTTTCGTAATATCAAATATTCCTTAAATATAAGCATATTTTCATCCTTGACCAACAGACATAGCCACCACTCTGTCTGTCTTGCTACTGAAATTTAAAAAAAAAAAAAAAAAAGGCCAGGATGAAAAATGAAAGAATTTTAGTACAATCTGTAGGACTCACTGGAGCCTGGTAGGATCACTATTGCACAGTGGAGAAAGAAAACATTTCAACTTAGTTTTTCCTAATTCATACAATGTTACTATAAAATGAATGGAAAAGCAACATTCAATTAATACTGTGGTCTCACTTCAACAAAACTAAAGAAATTATGTGAATACCGGCATGCCATTATGAAGGGATACTATGGCAAATGGAGTCCCTTAATCAGAACCTATAGAATAACTAATTTTGATGTTCTCCCATTTTGGGGGTCAGATGCCCTAATATTGGTATTATTTGAATTCTTCTAAAGGGAACATGAGTTCTTCTAATGTTCTGAAACTGCATGTAGAGTAGGATGATAGTCACGTGACTCAATTCCTCGAAATGTATTCTAAAAAAGTGTGCTCTGGGACACGTTCTTGTATCTCAGAAGAGCTGGTTTCCTGATGCACCCTCTACTGGGGAGCTGGGGTTCACTGGAAACTGTCCTCTGCAATATGAGCAAAGGAGCGGGCACCTAGAGGAGGGTTAGTCAGAGCTCTGGTTAACAGCAAGGGCTTCAGTGTCGTCAACAATGAGCAAACTATCTTGCCTCACTCTTTTCCTCTTCAAAAGAAAATAAGAGCAAAGGTAAACACATTAGTTTGGGAAAACTTCCACGTAAAGCAGGTTTTTCCCGAGCTTACTTCTTTTCCTAAAATGACTATTATCCAGTAGCTAGAAATCTGGTACCTTCATAAAGTTCACTTAGTGAAATAAGTGAAATGCCAACCACATGTGGGGTTGCAAAAGAATCAAACCGAACCAAGACCACACAGCCAAAGAGCAAACTGAACGTATTTCACATAGGGGAGAGAAAACAAAAACAGTAAGTGTATGTGAAAGTGCACCATGCTTTATAAGTCACTTTTTCATGATTTTGAACTATTCCTAGAATATTTTATGAGTACACAATTCAGTAAATGTGAGCATACATATTATACTAGCAGGCAGTATAACTTTTCATTCCACAGACCAAGAGAAAAGACAATAGAACATGACAGGTTAAAGTTATCTTTCTGACTGTGAGATTTGTCTCAATTATTTCTTCCCACACAGTTCCTTCCAAATGTTCTTATTTAACAGGTAACAGGCTCATATTTAACAGGTAATACCCGGGGAATTGTTACTGATTTTAGGGGAATCTCTGCTTTTCTTTTCAAAAGCTAAAATGGTGAAGTTAAGATAGTAAGAAGGAAAGGAATTTTGATTCATACCCAACCCTCATTTTATATTGGAAATATGCTTTAATGCTATAAAATATTAATTCATACATATTTCTTAAATAATACTGTTTTAAGATGCTCAAGGGAGTCCGACTTTTTTAAAAGTTATACTATTAAAAATTTTAAGTATTAAACAAATAGAATGGAAAAACAAACCTCCACATGCCACTATTGGTCCGTGAACGTCAATAACAAGCCACACACGTTTTGTCTATCTATGTATGTGTGTATTGCTATGGACAGGAAGGAAAACTCTAGATTGCACGTATTCTACTCCTATACATTTTAGTGGGTATCTTTAAAAAGTATACATTTGGTGACTACCAAACTTTAGTTTGAAATAAAATAGTAATAAACAGAAATGCAAAGAAAAATATATCTCTCTGCTGCTGTGCTATTGAAAAACATAAAATTTTAAGGTTTAATTAAAACTTACAAAGGATAATTATCGAAATTTCTAAGTTCCTTTCCATTCAAATATATTTCACTCTATTCTTTCTACTAGAATTTACTATTCAAAAGTATGGGTAAGGGCCAGGGATTCAGCTCAGTGGTTCTGCGGCCTGCCTTGCAAGCACAAGGATCCAAGTTCAATCCCTGGTAAAAAAAAAAAAAAAAAAGTATGGGATAAAAGTAAACATTTTAATAATGAATAGAAAGCAAATGGAAAAATCATTTTAAGTCATTTGCTGCAATATAGTATTTACATGTTCCTAATTAATAAAGCAAGTGAATAACTTTTTGGAATGCTGAAATTTGAAATCTAATCAACCACCTACATGTTCCAGTTCTTCACTATAAAAGTGAGTTGGGCAACCTTAAATATTGCAAAGTATTTAAAATTCCAAAGTATGTGCTGTTTAATTCAACTTTTACATATTTTACATATTACCAACAAAGTACACCTATTGGAATATCATTTTAACATGTGACCACTTCCACTATTATAAGCTAATATTATCTATCACTGTAAAATTTAAATAACATTCATAACACTGGTGCTACAGCATTATTAAAGTTTCACATAAAAACATAAGGAATTAAAAATTTAGATAAGCATTAATACAAATGATAGATTGCCACAGTAATGCATTTGATTTTTTTTTTTTTTTGAGATGAGGTTTTCACTAAGTTGTTCAAACTGGCCTTGAATTCACTATGTAGTCCAGGCTGAATTCGAACTCATGATGAATCACCTGCCTCAGCTTCCTGAGTGCTGGGATCATAGGCATCCCCCACCGCACCTGGCTATATATTTTGATTTTTATTCATATATTTTGCACATATCTTTCATCTGGGTATTTTATGGCTTACTGAGGATTAAAAGTGCATTTTGAATACAATCTTTATCTTTACTTATGTCTTTTTGTAGAATTATTAAACCATACCTTCAGAGTTACCATCTCTTCTGGGATGTGCCTTCTTTGATGATTTTGTAAGAGAAACTTTATTTTCACTCTTTTTGAATAATGCTAGGCGCACAGTAGCATCTAGATAAAATCAGAAAAACAAAAGCTATGATCAACTCTGGGCCACTCTTTTTGATCTGATCATAAATTTTTTTATGGTGTTATTAGAAATGTGCTTTTTTAGGGCTCTATAAAATTGATGATGTTATTTTAAACTTCATAATACCCAAAGATAATCAGTCATGCATATATTCTTTTTTGTTGTTTTGTTTTGTTTTTGGTACCAGGGATCGAACTAGGATCCCTCTGCTTGCGAGGCAGGTGGCGGAACCACTGGGCTAAATCCCTGGCCCTGTCGTCATATACTTTTGATTGCAAGATTAAACACACAGCCAATACTTATTATAAATGAAAGAAATATTAATAATGTTCTAAAATTGTATATCAACTTTGCAGTTAATGATATTCATTTGTGAAGATGTTGTACTATTTATTATCTTAGCTCCCTTCTTAAGTTCCTGATGTTTCTGGAATAAGCAAAAAATTAATAAATATGTAACTATATGAAAGATGTTATAGGAAAAACCATATAACTACTTTTTCCTCTCTAAAGAGTGTAAGAATACAGGAGATGGAAGCGAGAAAGCAAATGGAATTAAGAGACAAATAGAAAATGATTATTTTCATTCAGTTATCACATAAGATAGTTGTTTTTTTCTGCTCAAATATATTATATTTACATGACAAAGATGAATAAATTATCTATGACTTTTAAAGCCAGGAAAACTCTAAATCTATTAATTTGACCAAATGAATAAAATCGCCAGGTGTGGTGGCGCATGCCTGTAATCCCAGCACTTGGGCGGCTGAGGCAGGAGGATCGCTGTGAGTTTGAGACCAGCCTGGGCTACATAGTAAGTTCCAGGTCAGTCTCAATTGCATAGTGGGACCCTGTCTCAAAAAACAAAAAAACAAAAACAAAATAAAACAAAATAAAAAAAACAAAAATGAATAAGATGGCTTGAATATAAAGCACTATAAATTTTATTAGTAAGAGTAGTTCCATGGAATGTGAAAAATTTAATTTGATGCTGTTGCATTAAATTTTTGCTTAAGAACTATAAGAGAAGAAGATAGTGACATAATTACCAGGGAGCAAAATAAAAAATGGAAAGTTATGCATTAGTACGGTAACATAAAACCAAAATTCAGAGCAACACAGATTTTCTCCGTATCTTATGTCATCTGGGAAAGAGTAATTTATGAAACTTTGATGAGTATCTAGTGTAATAGAATTGAATATACAAAATGGAAAAACAAGATTTTAAGTTATAGATACTAACTATACATTTTATTTAAATGCTACTGTATCATATTTTTAAGAATATAAATCAGAGAAGCAAATTGAATAGTATATGCAGTTATTCTCTGAAATGAGCACACTAATAATTTTCATCAGCCATTAGCAATACTTTATCCTTCCTAAGTATTTTACGTGTTTCACAGATACTATAATTCTCAAGATTAGGAAAACACCTGACAATGTTTGCATACATTCATATATACACATAATCAAAGGTGTTACTGTAGTTTGGGTATTTCTCAATTAATTCAGTATGAACTAACAATAAGAATAATAATACATGGTATATATATTTCATAAAATAAGCATTTTATATCACCTAAATCACTTACCAGAAATAACAATATGCTCAAAAGAAGTATCTATTAATGAGGGAAGGTTAATTTCTATGGAATTACAAACTGCAGTACCTTATAACCTGTGTGATACCTTAACATCTTGCTACACCTGTGCTGATTGTTCTTTTACAGCTGTGTATTCTTTGAGCAAAGATAATATTTTGAACAGAACTTGGTTAGATTATTGTTCCCTTTTTAATCATTTGTCTGACTTTGAATAAAGTATTCTCCTTTTTTTGCTTTCTCCTCCGTCCATCAGAAATCCCACTGACTTTGAAGTACTACTGTGGGGATTAGTGAAATAATGTGTGAAGCATCAAATCTCTTGCCCACATACATGTTGATGCTCAACAAATAGTATTTAGTAGACAAATAATTATATAATAAACTGTGGTATTTTCAACTTATATTCTTGGACAATACCTCATATCTTTCTATAAAATATAAGATATAGATGGGTCTTGTTTTTAATTAAATGCCTTGCTTTTAATCAATATACCATACTGAAATAAAGCTAGGGATCTTTTATAATTTTTTTGGCATTTCCTTGGGCCAATAATCATCTCTCAATGACCTGACTTCCTAACATGTAAAACAGTAATAAAAAAATAGCGCTGTCCTCATAATACAGTCAAGATTAAATAATTAATACATATACAATATTTACAAGAGTTGTCTAGCTCAATTTACTCAATAAAATAACTTTATTCCCCAAGAGCACATAAAGAACACTACATTAGAGATATCCTTTTATTTCAAAACATTCTGATTGCATCACCTTAAATCAATTTGAGACAATTCAAATAACAAAGGGATAATGATAAGAAGCAAAAAACATAGTAATTTAAGAAGAGGGAAAAACCAACTTGAATTTGCTAGTTCCTAGAAATAACACTGTGAATAAGAAACTATTCTTGCAATAACAAAAAAAAAATTCTACCAAGAAAGCCAGGAGATAAGGATACTGTAGATTACAGCTTGTAACACATTTTTACTGCATTGTAAAGTCAGTTTTGTACACGAAATTTACCCCTCTGCAACCATCAATAGAGGGCCATGGTGTCTTTTATTAGTTTTTTAAAAAATCTTTTTATTTTTCACCACAGCTTGCTCAGGAATAGGTATGAAACATACCTTTAAAAATATTTCAAGAAACTAAAGCACTTTGAAAAAAGAGATTGAAGAGGATATAAGAAAGTGGAAAGACATCCCTTGTCCCTGCACAGTAGGAACCAATATAGTGAAGATGGCCATACTTCCAAAACCACTTCAAATATTCAATGCAATCCCGACTGAAATCCAAAAAGCATACTTCACTGAGCTAGAGAAAACAATCCAAAAATTATTTGGAATCAGAAGAGACCTAGAATTGCAAAACCAATTCTAGGCAACAGAGACATGGAAAGGGGTATCACAATTCCAACTTGAAATTATACTACAAAGCTACTATGTTAAAAAGAGCACAGTACTGGCAAAGAAACAAACCCAAGGATTAGTGGAAGACTAGAAGATGCAAACAAAACAAAACAAAACAAAACAAAAAAAGCCCAAAAAACTCCAGACGTACTCACCTACCTCATCTTTGACAAAAGAGTCAGCCATCCTCCCTGGAGGAAAGATAACCTTTTCAATGAATGGTGTTGGCAAAAGTGAATTTCACCCTGCCAAAGATTAAAACTAGATCACTATCAGTCACCATGCACTAAACTAAAATTGAAGTAGTTTAAAGATATAAATATTAAAACAGAAACACTAAATTTGCTGGAAGGTAAGTTAGATAGAACTCTTGGCATGGAAAAAGACTTTATGAACAAATCCTCAGTAGCATGGTAGTAGCAAAAAGTATCACCAACTAGAATCTCATATTAGTAAAAAGCTTCTGCACTGCAAGAGAAACCACCAGCAGTATGAAGAGACAATCCACAATGTGGGAAAAATTTGTACCAGCTGCTCCTCAGACAAAGGTCTACTCTCCAGAATATAAAAAGAACTAAAAAAAAAAATCAGACCCCCCAAAATAAAGACCCAATTTAAAAATGGGCATCTGATATAAACAGACATTTCTCAAACAAACAAGTAAAAGCAGCAAATGAACATATGAAAAAAATGTTCAACATCACTGGTCATTCGAGAGATGCAGATGAAAACAACACTGAGATTCCACCTCACCCCAGAAAGTATTGCTGCTATCAAGCAATCAATGAATAACAAATGCTGGTGGGGATGTGGGGAGATAGGAATCCTTTTTCACTGTTGGTGGGAGTGCAGACTGGTGCAACCACTGTGGAAATCAATATGCAGATACCTCAAAGAACTAGGATTAGAGGTTCCATTTGACCCATCTGTCCCTCTGCTGAGTATCTTTTCAAAAGAATTAAAAGAATCATACCACAATTATATATGCTCACCCATGTTTATAATGGCAGAGCTTGTAATAGCTAAAACTTGGAATCAGCCCAATTGCCCACCAGTTGGAGACTGGATAAAGATGTGTTTTTTTTTTTTCTATAAAATGGAGTACTACTCAGCCATAAACAATGAGAAACTAGAGGCATTTATAGCTAAATGGATGCACACTGAGGCCATACTCTTATGTGAAATAAATAGGATGCACATGTGTAAACACCGAATAGCTTCTCTGACATTAAAAACTAAAATTGTAAATAATGTTCAAATTGTATATTTGACAATGTGCAACAGGAAGAAAAGGGCTAAAGGTATAGGGGAAGTGGGAAGGGTATGGGAAAGGAGAGAAGGGAAAAGAAAAATATGAGAAAAGGAAAAAAATGGAAACAAAGACTTTGTAAATAGGGAAGTTTGGAGGGGTTGTAGGGAGGAGAGGGTTATGGGGAAAAATAAGAAACAAGATACATCATGTAAAAGTACAAGATCTCAATGATGGATTAACTGTACTGTGTCCCTAAAAAGTACCAATAAACTTAATGAAAAAATAAAATATAAAAAATACTGCTGGGGATTTAGCTCAGTGGTTCCGGCACCTGCCTTGCAAGCTCAAGGACCTGAGTTCAATCCCTGGTACAAAAAACAACAACAACAACAACAACAACAACAAAACCAAACCAAAACAAACAAACAAAAAAAACACTGAGGAAGAAAAAAAATATTTCAAGAACTCCCTAGGGAAGTAAAGTGAGTTCCTATTACATAATTCGGCTGTGTTAGATACTTTATGTCCATTATCTAATCTACACATCCTGCTTTTTATCTTTAAATTTATTGGTACAATTTAGATATACATAAGGGTCACATTCATCACATGCAATTTGCACTTTTACACCGTATATCTTCATTCATAATCTTTCACATGCCCCTCCCCTCCATTCTCCTCCTCATGCCCTTCTTCTTTATAAGATCTTTGTTTCCATTTTATCTTTCTTTTCTCTTTTATTGTTTTCCCTTCCTTTCTTTCCCTTCTCCCTCCTTTCTCGGGTCCCTTCCCATTTGAACCTTTCCTTCCTGTTACAAAATATCTATTATATATTTAGGTCCTGTTCACACTTTCAGTCTCCCACACCAGAGAAGCAATGTGATATTAACATGTGTGTTCAATTTATTTCACTTAAAAGAATAGTGTCAAAGCCCATCTCTTTAGGTGTAAGTGCCTCCAGTTTATTCTTCTTGATGGCAGAGTTGTACTCTACTGTATACTAAAAAAAAAAACAAAAAAAACAAACACATCTTCTTTATCCATTCACTGGTTGATGGACATTTGGGCTGTTTCCGCGATCTAGCTGCTATTAACTCTGCTGCTATGAACACGGGTGTGCATAGACTGCTGTGGCGTGCTGCTTTGAATCCTCTCAGGAAGATACCAAGAAAGAGGATAACTGGGTCAAATGGAACCTCTCTCGTCCTATTTTTTTGACAAATCTCCACATAGATTTCGACAGAAGCTGCACCAGTCTACACTCCCTCCCAACAGTGGAGAAGGGTTTCTTTTTCCCCACAATTCGGCCAGTGTTTGTTATTGGTTGATTTATTGATAGCAGCCATTCTTTCAGGAGTGAGGTGGAATCTCAGTAACGTAACTTTTATAGTAGCCAGTATTTTGTCCTGTTTATCATCCCTTTTCAGTTTCTGAAGTTCTAATTTTATTTCATTATTTTATTTTCAATTTTAAAATAAAATTTGGCATTATTTTCATTTTCTGTATGATTAGTTATCATCTTAAAATGCATATGATTCATTATTTAAATTCCTAGAAGAAAAAAAATTAAGAAACTAAAATACACAGAATCTTGTATGTGTATATATACATATATACATGTACATATGTATACATGTATATATACATATATACATGTGTGTATACATATATACATGTATGTATACATATATACATGCATATATATATATATATATATCCTGTGAAATGTATATTAATACTGATGTTTACCAAATTTGTGGTTGAATCAGCTAAGAGTCATTCATGGAACATCTATCCAATACTTTTATTTATTCCCTTATGTGACTTTAAATTTTATATGCATATGTAGGATAAATGTTAGAAAGCCATATTATATTTGTATTGTTTGTCCTTAGCCATTAAATACTTTCCCAGCCCCTCTGCCCCCAAATCTCTACACTCAGACCTGGTACTCACTGAGGACCACTCTACAGCAAACCAGCCACCCACTTCTTTCCCTCATCCAGCTTATTTCAGCCTTGTTACCAAGAGTAGTCACTACCCTTAGGTTATTGACCTTGCATGTTTTCAATAAACCTGCAACTCTCAATTTCTGTATGATATTCTTCATTGCAGTACTGAATTACAGACTGTCCTTCAGTTCATCTAAATTCCAAATACAATTAACTAAATTCTTAAGCCATTTTTGTACCTAAGGGAACAGTAAATACAAACAAACAAACAACCCACAAAAACAAGACCAGTCATTATTGGCTCAAGTTTATGTCAGTCGTGAGGGAAAAAGCAATCACTTGCTTACTGGGAAAAACAACACTCATAACCCAAACATACACCAAGTAACTCATGATAATGCCTCACAATTTTAGACTTCATCCTGCGGCTTCCAATAATCCATCATCTTCCTTCCCTCCTCTTCCTCCTCCTCCTCTTCCTCCTCCTTCTCCTCCTCCTCCTCCCTCCACCTCCTCCTCCTCCTCCTCTCTAATGCAGATGGCTTCATGATACAGACAGAAGTCCTCAGAAGAGTCCTTTCTAAAAGTTGAGCATCCTTCTTCATTTCCTGGCTGTAGTAACCAACTTCTCCTCTGCAATAATTCTTCCTCTCTCTATAAATGATTCCAATTCAGCTTCTTTTCTCAAGTTAATTGAACTTCTGTCTTTTGTCTTATTTTCATTCTAATCTTATACAAAATGTTGTTTACTTATCTTCTTAGTTTAATACAGATACATAAAAGACATAAATAAATATTAGTAAGTGCTTGATACTGAGCAATTTGCTCTAGGGGTTTTCCTGGTGGAAATTTGAATTAAAACTTCCATAGTCTGTGCATTTATGCCTCATTCCCTTGAAGATCGCTGCTTTGTCAGATGTAAGATACAGTTTGTTCGCTTAAGTTCCTGTTCTCCGACGTTTCTCCTGCCCCTCTATAACTGACCTAACACAAGTAGCTGCTCAGTAGTTTTATGGGCAATACTGCCCTCTAGTGGTCGAAAACTTTCAAACTGGTAATTTATCCACGTAAAAATGTATATATTGTCTTTACATAGGCTTAAAATTCACTAGTAAAATTTTGTTTAGAACAGTATTGAAATATATAAAAAAGATTTACCTAATTAGTGAATAAAAATGTAAATAATTGCTATTATTTTATGCAAGTAAGGTAATGGCACAGCACAAACTGACTGAATTGTAAAATTGAGAAAAAATAGTGGAAAATGTTCTCTATGAAAGAAACTCCCGGCACAGAGTTTTAAATGATTTATCCACAGACAAAAAAATGATATAAGGGCTATAACATAGGCCTAAAAAATGTGATGCGATAATTGGAAAGGATTCCTTTGATTTCCTTTTTTCATCTTTAATTCTCCCTTAAAATCTCTAATCTGTAAATGCATTGCAAAAGAAGAAAAAAAGAAAACAATAAGGAGAGTATAAAGTAAAAAAACAGTGCAACATAAAAATTCAAAATCTCAGTCATAACAATGTAATTTGGATTACAATTGTATAATTAGGTAAATAATCTTCATAAAATTATACAAATGAGCATTTAGAATTTTTATTTAACAAGGCGTGTTTAACAAATTTTAACAAAAATTTTAAATTAAAAATGCAATTGTTGAGTGGGACTACTGGTTGTTCTATTTCATTTGTTACACTAACATGCCCCCTTGTGACTGGTGAAAAGAATCTTAATTTATGCCTAATTATCTCTAACTGTGTCCATGGAAGCAATACTTATATGTGAGCAAATACTGTTCATTGAATCATTTGCTAAAACATTATTTACTATACAGATTTATCAAAAACATACTCAACCAAAACAAAACAAACCTTTAATTACAAGAATTAAGAAGACAGGTTTATGTATTTCTGGAGTTACTATCATACGGAAAATTTGACAAAATAAAATGTTCTTCACTTTTAACTACAGAAGGCTACTATAAGCATAATAAATATTTTTTTAAAAATTCATATAGCAAAAAGTTTGAACATAAATAGGACATGATTATTGGTCGAACAGTTGTATCAGTTCTTAAATTTATTTTTTGATACTTTTAACTTACACCGGGAGCCTCAGAAATTTTTATCATTTTCAAGAGTATGTTTTTTGATGGGTAGAAACATACATTGAAAAAATGAAGGAGTTTATCAAACTACCTGGATTTACTGTTCTAGGCTCTACATTCCCACAGCAGAGAGTTTCTCTACCATAAGGGTGTGGAGTTAATATTTTACTGTAATAACCACCACAGGGAACCACAGGGCCCTGAGTGATGTAACAGCAGTTCACAAGTTAAGCCTGCAGGAGGCAAAGGTAAATTTAAAAGCACAATATGTATTTAAATTTTCTTTAGGAATGACCTAAAATTTTAATACTTTTAAATCTGAAAAATTGTTAGTAAACAACACAAATTATAATTACTCACTGAAGATAAAGTATAAATTAAGGTGTCATAAATATAGCCACAAAAACAGAAAGTGGTACAGTTTTGAAAATGAAAATGAGTAGTAATTTATAAATGGTTATTCAAAAAGGTACTGCTAGATACCAGTTCTTCCTTGTAAAGCAAAGAATTTTCGCCATTTTTATTTATATTTTAAGTTCAAATAGGCATACAAAGTTTTCAGTACTATACACTTCTGCTGAATTACTAATTTAAATAATACACAGACAAATCAATATGAATGAGAAGCAATTTGTGAATATTATTTGTATATTTCTATGAGATAGAATTCCAGGGTAAATCTAGCTTTATTTTGTGATGTAAAAGCATGGCTTTTCAAAAAGTCCTATGACTTGTACTGAGCCTATGAGCTCATCACTTTATAAAAGTGAGAAGTGGAAAGTTATCCGCAATATGTAAACAATTTTAAAAAGTTTTAGTTAAAAAGATATAGAATTATACCTTGCTATTTCTTGCCTACAGATTCAAAAACTCTTCCACATATTAAGTAACTATACTAAAATAATAAGTTGTCCAAAGAAAGACAAATGATTCAAAGAGTAGCTTGGCAATGAGCATAGAAGAAAAGACCCTTGTGAATGTTAGCCAAATTCTTCAAAATCGTAAAATGCACCAATTGCGGTTCTTTCCAAGGTGTCAAACTGTGAAATAGTCTTAAGTAAAATCTATGAAACTGATCCATGTGCATAATTTACTGAATAATCTAGCAATTTAAAATCACACAGAGCAATATGCACATTGAAGCTGGTCCTTTTGAGAACCAACATTCTCTTAAATGAACCAGTTTAGAAACAAATTAGACAATAATTCTCAATGCACAATAGATAGAATAATCAATAGCCAACTGGATTAGAAAAGAGAGGAAATAACAAAAAGAACATTCAGGAGTGTAATAAATCATTCATTGTAATGGCATAATTTTCAAGTTTACTCTTTCAATCATTATCTTAGACATTCATCTGTGCATTCATTTGTGTCCTTATTAAATATAATTTGGAAAATATATTTTAAAATAATTTATTTTCAGCATGACAAAAATTTATTAGTCAAAGACCCTTAATTACTCACCTAACTTTTTCTTTAATTTCTTTGATTTCATTTTGTGCGCCCTCTTCAGCATTTGCTGAGCAGTAGAAATATCCTTAAAACCCCTATGAAAAGATAAATGTAACAAAGGCAAAAAAAAAATACAGACCATATTTAGTTATGTGTGTATATATACATACACATATTTGAATTATATCATGGCAAAATAATTTGCATTTACTTCATCAAAGTTGTAATTTAACCCCATGTTAAGTTTCTTAAAAACTATAAGAAAATATGCATTCTTGAATCCTGAAAAATATATGCCTTGGACATTTATAAGTCTTTTAATTTCTTTTTTTTTTAGGGTAAAATAGACCACATACCATTCTTCTGAGAGTTTTTCTTCTTTTTCAGATTTAAGCAAACTCTTTCTACTGATTTTTGATTCAGGTGTCCAGGAGAACATTCTATTTTCTGATCTGGCAAAGGAAATAAATGACTTTTAACGGAATCAACACATGAGTATCAGCACTGTTTAAAGCTACAAGCTGTTTATGTTGTAGCCAACATGGAAATAAAATCCATTTAAGTTACAAGAAAACTTTATCTTGAAAAGTAATAAAAGTCTGCCATTAATTTAAATTGTTTACATTTCAATTACTTGAAGCATATTTCAACCCTTTTGCAAAAGCAATACAGTACTGGGCATTTTGTTCCAGTCCTTATCTCTACCTATAAGGCAGTAAATATCCACTTGTCAACGACAATTAATTACATTATTTCACCAACGCGTAAGTTTTGTGGTTACTTTGATGCACCTCACACACTTTTCTCCCACTAAACTCTCAAAGTCATGTTTTAAACATTAAATGCTGCATCTTCAAAACATGTAAATTCACATCTATTTTTATTAATTGTACTACTTTGGAGAGGAAGGGTAATGTTTTCGTTATTCATAAACTGATTCCCTAAGAAAAGTCCTTTAGCTTACCTGCAATGTAACTGTGTGTGTTCTGATGAAAACGAATTTTCTTTCTCATTACACAGCCATGCCTGAGCTGGATGGCTTGGTAAGTTAAGAGAAGTATCATCATATTTCAAGGTTCCAGGGACCTTTTCCCAAAAAATGAAATATGTGTAAATAAGTTAGAATATTCTAGCATTTATACTTTTAACATGCATATTACTAAGTAGCCTCATAAGGGACTCAGTATAAAATTAAAAATTGTAATAAATTAAAATTTCTAGAATAAATAAACAGGTCCTTTGTTATAGTGGTGAAGAATATGTTTTTTGGTATAGCTCACATACACCATATACAAAAATGATTAATTGCAAAGATCTTAAAAATCTCAGAAAACAAAAACTTCAAAGATTACCAAATAAATAACAGATATTGCAGTCCATTGACCTCTGACTGAGAATCCTCAGCTGCTGCCCTCTTACTGCATAGTTTTGTATTTTTAAAGTGCTGTCAACTAGTGATTTTAGGCTACTGCCAAGTATGCAGCTGCACCATATCATTTTCTCTCCTTTTTTCTTTCTCTCCTTTTTTTTTTCTTTCTTTTTTTTCTTTTTCTTTTTTTTTTTTTTTTTTTTTTTTTTTTTTTTTTTTTTTTTTTTTTTTTTGCTACTGTGAAATAAAGTGTTGAAAGAAATCCAAAATAAAGAAAAAAAATTAGGAGCAAATGAAAGCAAAGCTATATGAAAAATTACATCTGGGAACAAGGAGGAAGTCAAAGGCTTCTAAAAGTAATTATGTTTTTCAAGTCAATAAATTGTATTATTAATCACCACAGCATCGCATAACCCGAAGAAATGAACAGAGATGGAGCACTCAGGAGTCTCCATGACATGTTACCTTTGGCCGGGGCTGCTGGTCTGGGAACAGCAGCGTTTGTGAAGGGAAGCAAGAAGAATCTAAAGCTAGCCATTCTCTCTCTAAGGCAGCCTGTACAAATGACATTCAAAGGGACACAATTTAGTTTGGGTAACTTTTAGACAGTTTCCGTTAAACTGTCTGATACACTGTCAATGTTGACAAAGTCTAACAAAATTTTCATTTACAAGAAATTTCCTACTTGCTGGAGCATCTGTTCAATTTCAACACACAAAAGAGTAAGAGAGGGCATTCGTACCCAAGCTTTGTGTGAAGTGAAAATTGAATTCTGAGTGCTCTAAAAAGTGAGGTACAGACTGTTCCGTGTCTTCAACTGTTTGTCTATCACTATGACTCAGAGCCAAATCTAGGTGTAATCAAGGGAAATCCTCCTTTGGCTCTTCACATGCAAATTACAATATTTTTTATACCAAACATCAATATTGAAAATTCGTATTAATATGAGATTTCTCTTTGAGCACTGCACACAGGTTAGCTTTTACTTATTTTTTCTCCAAAATATCAAAAATTTTCTGTATGAATGGAAAGTAATTTTATAGTAAGACTATTCTTTATTTCAACTGTTTGAATGAAAAAATGTTTACACATCTTAAATTTTGAATTTTCATTTTAAATCTCCTCTCCACTGTGTAATATCTTGCTCCTATTTATAGAATTTCCAAATTTATTCTTTCTATGATGAACGTATGGTAATTACATGAATGTTATATATTTAAAATTCAGTCATTTGACCCAGCACAGTGGCACCTGCCTGTAACCCCAGCACTCTGGGAGGCTGAGGCATAAAGATTGCAAGTTAGACCCAGTTTGACCATTTTGCAACTTAGTGAGACTCTGTTTTGAAAAAGGGGTGGGGGGAGGCTATTGATACAGCTAATTGTGAAGACCCTGAGTTTAATCTCCAGTACTGAAAAAGGAAAAAAGAAGTACAATTATATGTTTTTAATTGGATTATGTAATAAAGCTTTGAGTAAACTTTTGTGGTTCTATAGTTTCTAAAAATCTTTATAAAAACAGGATAATCAGAAAAATGATTGTTTAAAAAAAAAGATTATAAAATGAATATGGTTTAACTTAAAACTAGAGTGATCATATTTTGAGGAGATGCAAAGTTTCCAACAGTAAAGTGTATAATTTCAAACTTTTGACTACTTTCTTAAATACCCGGGAGAGAGATACAGCTAAGACATTCTGACTATTGACAAGCAGTGCAATGACAGACATTTACCGATGGCATTTAGTTTTAGGAAATCTCACCAAGTTTATGTTCTTTGACTCTTATGCAAATAAGGCACCTTTACACAATTGTTAAGTGTTTTGTCAGATTCTTTCAAGGTAGGGATTATGACATCTATATTACAGATATATCTGGTTCAAGGATACATATCTGCTGTAAAGATTGTTGTCAGGCAGGAGGAATGCGTTCACAACATCTAGTGTATAACATGGTGACCATAGTTCGTAGCTGTATTATACTGTTGAAATTTACTAAGAGAAATTCAAAGTATTCTCACCTCAAAATATAAATATGAGTTGATGGACTGTGTATGACAAAAAGCTTGAATTAGACATTCCAAAGTGTAGACATATATCAATCATGTTGTACACAATAAATAGTTTTATCAATTAAAAAACATAAAATGTTAATATTAATATTGCTTACTAAAGTATTATTGAATAAAGAAAGAGAGAGAGGCAGCTCTCTCAGGAGAGCCATTAGTGTTCCTCCTCACCATTACAGAGAATTACAAAGTTCGGGAATGGCTGGGCAGAAACGGTGGCTTTACTTCAGGAGTGGGGGAACTACAATAAAAAAGTAAGACACTGTGTCAGATTTTTAAATGAAAGAGTTGACACGAAGGACCCTTGCTTTGAGGCACATGGGAAAGTTAATTAAAAAGATCTTATATTTTATTTGGGACGTATTTAAGCTGCTATGTTAACTACTGGTTAAATCATGCCAGGAATTCAGTAAACTCCCATTGACTTATAAAACAAAGTGGTTTGTTTTGCTTATGATGGGTAATACATAAATTTGATGAGGGATGTGTTGAAAAAGAATTGCTATTGCATGCAAAACTGCAAATGGGATTCAGGACTCAGATATCTAATTTTTTTGAATGACAAATGAAAACCCAGATTCCCTCGGGAGGACCCAGGGCCACGGCACACCGGTTCTAATAGCCCAGTATTCTTACTCTGATGCAAGGGGCTGAAATGTGAAGAGGTAAGGAGACAATATCGCAAAAGGCAATGGGCTACCGGACAACTCGCTGAGGCAAAGGACCAGTGTCCTGGCAAGGACTCTGACTTTTTCTCTGATTTTTATATGGGTAACTACTGTTTTTTTTAAACCTGAAACACCTGCCAAACCATCTCTTTTTTATGTTCCCTGAAAATCCAGCTGCTTTCCTTCAGTAGCAGGACCAGGTCCCCCACAGCACAGTGACCTCTTTGTCTTATCATACAGATGTGAAAGCACTGTTCTTACTTGAAAAGCCTAAATAAATTCTGGGAAAAAAAAATTGGTTCTCAAAAAGTGATATTTAGAAGTACAGAACACTGAAAATTCTATTTCTTACTTGAATACAAAGCCATAAATTTTTACAGGATTCCAGAATGATTTCTTAACCATTCTCTGTACTTCCAGAAATATAAAAATGGTATTTAATAGAAACTGCTAAAAATACTTTTAGTAATTATATAGTCACAAGCAAAATATATTACCATGTCTGATTTATATGAAGACAAGCTTAATAATGTCAAGTATATTTCGTATTACCTAGTACATTAAGAGAAGTAAAATTTCAAGATATTAGGAGAAATTAGCCAAGAGTTACAAACATAAAATTGTAGAATTTATATTAATATATCATGTTGACCACTGCAAATTTATACAAATTTAGTTATTTCTAAGAATACCTTCATTTGGATATTCTTTTTTTTTTTTTTTTTT